TGAAAAAAGAAAAAGCGGAGGTCGTCTTTTTCGACGACGCAAAGTGTTGATTCAAGTAGTTCAGGATTTTGAGACCTTTCAGAGGTTATTGAGATCGATCTGAGTTTGATCTGAGGTTTAGAACGATTTGGTGAGATATTTGAGTTAATTTGGTTGGGTTTCAGGTGATGGTAACCATTGGAGCCTCATAAAATTGATCAGTTAGCTATCTAGAGTCACTACAAAGAAGGTTTATCTGCACCAAGCTCGGATTTAAAATTGCTCGAAATGCTCTTTGACGTTCCAGAAGAAAATTCTGAAAGTCTCAACCTGCAAAGATGGTCATTTTTTAACAAAGAAAGATAAATTTCGAAAAAAAAAACTTGACCTGGATCAAGGTGAAAATACTTTTTTGGTGGGTGTCTGGAGTAGGAAATAAAATTGATCGGATGTTGATTGGTTTTATAATAACTAATAAATTTTGGATTTTATTGAAGTTGCGAAAATTAACCTTTAGAAAGCGCAACTAGAAAAAAATATTTATGGAGACGAAATTTTACATGGAATTTTTTTTTCATGTAAATCTCCTGAATCTATTTCACTTTTCACAACACTAAACTTTGGAAAGTTTTTTTTTGCATCTCAATGTATGAAAAAAACTGTACCTAAGGCCTGGAATTTCTGAAAATTGATGGTAGAACAACTAGAACAAAGTTCGTTCATTAATTTGTGAGATAACAACTTTCTGAAAACTTGAAACAGAAAGTTGATCATGTTTGCTGAATAAAAGTGTTGATTTTCAAGAAAAAAAAGCTTAAAAGTAGTCAAAATCGCGCACAAGCTTCCCTTTCACGGGAAAAATTGAAAAATTATTTTTCAAGAAATTTTCAAAAAACAATAAAAAGTCAGAATAAATGAAAAAAGTTCTGAAGTTACCAGAACTTGAAAAAAATTGAAAAACCTCTCCAAACTTTTTGTGAGTTGTACAAAAAAAGAAAAGGTTCGAAATATAAAGAAAAAAGTTGAAAAATTGTCTGAAAGTTGGTCATCTCAAGAATCATTTTAACGGTTTTCGAGAGAAAACGTTTTGACTGACCGGCTCACAGAACTCTTACAAAAACTAATAGTCTAAATTTTCATTTGGAGGGGTCTAAAATGAATTTTGAGTGATTTCGTTTTCTTAAAAGTACGCAAGGTTTTTGATTTTATAAATTTCAAAATACGTCTCGAAAAATCTTAAAACTGCCGTTTTTTCATTCTTCACATCGTAACCCCATTTTTTTTTTCTTTCCAGAAGCTCCTCTCCGTGCCGAAGAAGCAAATGTTGCACGAGACTGTTTGTGCATGATAAGCTGATTAGGTCGGACGACGGTGCGGGGGCAGAACGTCAAGTCGAACTTCTTCCGAGGCAATCTGAGGTGAGGCTCCAATGGGAATTCAGTAGGAGTATTGATCCATTAATTTATTAAAAGTTAAGGAAGATTTTGGGCGGGTGAAGAGCAATCTACTAAAAGGATTATCAAAACTTGAACTGTCTTGATTTTTCTGGATTTTTTTGAATCTCAAGCTTCTTCTTACGATATTTCAGTACAAATCGTAATAAAACCTAGATTTTTAACAAAATTTTGCTCTCAAGACTTTTTTGAACTTCTCTATATGTTCTGAAGACCAGTTTTTCGTCTGTTTTGAGACTTTTGATTTGGCTTGATATTCTTGCATTTTTGATTGATTTTTTGGAGATCTCTATCAAGTACAAAAATCAGTTTTTCCTGATCATTGGCGAGAAATTGATGGCTCAGTTAGTAGGGATCTTCTGAGACGACTTTTAAAATTTTTTGCCGCTTCAAAAAGCTTTTTTTTTTCATAAAGTCTCTCCGATCGCACTTAATAAAGCTCAACGCGTTGCGGTCACGCTGCGGCTCGGAAACAAGGCTTCAAACTCCAGCGAGCGGAAGCCGTTTTTGGTCGGGTGCACTTCCTTGAAATCGCTCTGCAACCTCGGCGCATCATTTTTGGGGCACTATAACCTTGGGGAAGGCTTTAGAATGCACTATTCTTGTTAGCAACGGCGAAAATTCATTTTTTTCTGTTTTTTAGATTTTTATTCATTAATATTGTTCAGAAAGAATCTGTAGACGACGTAAAAACTTTGAAAAAAGCCCAAATCTTGTTAGGAAACAAACTTCTTTTTTTCCTTATCGCAACAAACTTCAATGTTTGCCCGACCCAATTTCATCACAAATAGAACTTCTTCTTCTAATAAATCAAACATTTCTCAAAAAGTCGAGCGAAAAAAGAAAAAAAGAAAATTGGAATCTTAAAGGCGCGCCGTCGAAATTGCATAAAACGATGATATTTATTCAACCCCGACGACCACAAATGGTAAATGTTTGCCCAAGGCCTCGTCGATGATTCCACCACTGCCGCAGTCGAAGCGCAACTTTTTTTTTGTCCGGAAAAGCGGAGAAAAAAAAGTCGAGTTCTTTGAGTCAACAAGCCGTTTTGCAAGAGGAGTTTCAGAGGTTAGGGTTGAGGAATTTCGGGGTTGAAGTTTTGGGAAAATGGTTAGATTTTCATATCTTCAGTACACCCAACAGAAATCAGTTGCTCAAAAGCTCAAAAAAAAAGAATTTTTTTTTTCGAAAAAAAATGGCTTTTGAAACTAAGCCTAATTGAAAGAGTGTCTCAGTAACTTCCAGAAAAAATTACAAGAAAAAAAAAAATATTTTTCGATTTTGATGAAACTTCATACAGTTTGGTAGTCAATTATCAGAAATGCGGTAGCAACTTTTTGAGCCATTTCCTCTTACTGTAGCCGGGCTACGGTAGCCACCTGCGTATCTAAGTATTGAAAAGTTTAAACTCGGCAAGTGATATATCAATCAATAGGTATTGCAATTTCAGAAACTTTTTTAGTACATACCAACTTGGGTTACTGTAGAAATATTTCGAGATACGGTACTTTTTGTGTTTTTTTTTTCTCGAGCCCGGAGATCTTTTTTCTCAGCTCCTAAAAAGATACCTTTTGAAATTTTATTCTTTTCTTTTGATCAGGTTTCTCCGATTTTTGATTCTGGGGAAAATATCAGAAATAAGTTTTGTAACGCTTGGATTATAGTTACAGATAGCAAAAAAAAATTTCAAACAAATAGAGGTTTTTTCTAACTTTTATTTTCACTCTCAATTTTGTTTGCACACAGTTCTTGGACCGTAAATGCTCATGATCAAGCTTAAAAATTTTGAATTTAACCAGTTTCTCTGAAAAAGTGGAATCAACGTCTTGCTCCAGTTTCAAACTTTTAACTAAACTTTAAAGCTTTAGAGTCGACTGCCACTCCTAAAAACTTGAGAAGTACCTGACCAATCCTTCCCATAATGCAATTGAAGATGTTACAAAAAAAGATTAGTCAGTTGCTGGAACTGCTTTTTTTTGAAGTTACAGCCCGTGTACCACGACTTGGGATTTCACGGAACGACATTCCGCTGTGCCGCTGCGTGCGTTCGCGAACCTTGGTCGCGCTTTAAATTTTTTTTTCCTTTTATCAAGGTACTCTACTTTCATGTGCTCCCACAGCAATAACAATCTAGATTCGAAAGACGCTTCGCGAACGCACGCAGCGGAGCAGCGGAATGTCGTTCGGTGAAATTTCAAGTCGTGGCACGCAGACTATAGAAGGACTTGAATTTTGAAAGCTTGAGAGAATTATGAATCGGGGCGCGCCGTAGCTCAACAGGTTGTGTGCCTGTCTACGGTCCACAGGGTCACAAGTTCGATCCCCGCCTCGACCCAACCAAGGGGTTTAAGAAATGTTGGTAGTGGGAAAACCACGACTTCATAATCCCCAGCCGTCACACACAAGGGCGGATATGTCACTCGAGCCAGTCCACTGATATCAGGATAGGACCTCGGCTAATCGATTTGGGGGCCGACGCCGCTCAAGCGGTACAAAGGCGTAGGAAGAAAAAGAAGAAGATGAATCTTCAAAGCTCAAAAGCCTCTCCACAACCACACCCATGCCAAAAACTGATATCCATCAAAAACCAAGAGAAGAAACAGGTGAAAAAAAAGTGCAGGGAAAGACGGTGAGCAACCGTAATCCGCCCGCGGCAACTGGCTAATCTCCGTGGCGCGTCGTTGTTTGCCGTTGTGCGCCGCCCACGCTTCTCAGTGAGGTCCCAACCGAAAGGCTTCTGCCTATGTGGTTCATTCGGCGAAGAGATAGTGAGGAAAAAATTGATTAGAAAAAAAAATCAGATTTGCGAATATTTCAAAAAAACTTTTCCTCGTTTTTTTCAACTTTTTTTCTGTTCTGAATAGGTTTTTTTACTTTGTAAAAAAAGGTGGTAGTATTGAAAACTACAAAATATCATAATTTAAACAGTAATTAGGATAAATAAATGGCCTCACATGGAAGGTCATTTCTGCGGAGGGTTTGGATTTTTTTAAAATTTGTTCAAATAATCGTTAATGGACTGGTAATCGATCCCCCATAGTCGCTATCTGCGCAAACTTTTCATTTTGAGCCTATGATTTTTCAAAGTTTTTCCCCTTAAACACGTGACACCGTTTGGAAGGAATTTATCCGCGCCACCAGCCATTGCATGCCAGTCAGAAGCGTGGTGCAGTGGCTAGCGTGTTAGTCTGCAGAGCCTATGATGAAGGTTCGAACCCTTTTGCCTCTAACTTTTTTTGCCATTTTTTTTTGACCGAATATGATGAAAATATCGAGATTTTATGATTCAAAACAGCATTGTATAAAGTTTTCACCTTTGTTTCCGACTCATATTTAATTTTATTTTTTTGGAATCAAGTTTTTTTCGAGATAATCGGCCATTGGAAAAAAAAGAACACATCATCGGGCAAAAAAAAAAGCCCAAGGTGGAATTTTCCAGACCAATTCCAAAAAGAGTTTTTTTTTTCCCATTCTTTCTCATTGATGAAATCTCCTGCTTTTTTTAGTTTATTCCGTGAAGAGATAGTCGAAATCGAGGAAAAAATAAATAGAAAAAAAAAATGGAGTTCAAGTGGGAGTTCCTTTGGGTTCTTCCAATGGCGGGATTTCTTCGTTCTGAAATTCGTAAATTTGAATTTTTGAGTTTGTGTCATGTGCAGTAGAGGTTCTCATAAAGCGCCCAGTCAGTGGTGAATGAAATTTTTCAAAGAAAATTAAATAATTACCCAGGTTGGCATTTGCTTGATCGTCTTGTTGGCGGACTTGTTCTCCGACTTGTTGTCGGACTTGGACTTGGAGTTCTCCGACTCATCTTTCTTCTTCGGATTCTTCTTCTTGTCGCCAGAACTTTCCTTCTTGGCCTTCTGACCCTTCTGACCTTTCTGGCCCTTCTTGCCCTTCTTGCCCTTCTTGCCCTTCTTGGCAGGCTTCCTTCTCAAGACTGTAAAGGCCATGATACATCCGATCGTCACGAGGATGAGGATCGCGAAGGAGGTGACGCCAATGATGAAGATCTTCGACGAGCCTCTGTCTGCATCTTCGTCACCGTCCTTCTGGAATATTTTTTTGTGAAAATGGAAGAATCTTAGGGAAAAGTGATCACTAATCACCATTTTCTCCACGATTCCAACAGCCCTTGGCTAACGCTGAAATATAAAAAAAGAAGAACCTTGTTGCCAGAATCGGAATCGGCATCTGTGGTAGCGTCACTGGAGGCGTCCGTCGTAGACTTGGTGACGTTTGAATTCAAACTAGGAGGTCCTGGTGCTGGGGCTGGAGTTGGAGCGCCTCCTGGTCCAGGTTTTGTAGTTCGAGTACGTCCTTGTCCCGATCCTGGTTTCGGAGTTGGAGTTGGAGCATTTCCTGGTCCTGGTGCGGCCGATGGGCTAGGTCCTGGTCCCGGTGCTGGGCTGGGCCCTTGTTGTGGTCCCGGTGCTGGCGCTGGAGTGGGCGCTGGAGTGGGTCCTGGTGTTGGTCCTGGTGTTGGTCCTGGTGTTGGTCCTGGTGTGGGTCCTGGTGTGGGACCTGGTGCAGGCGCGGGATTAGGCAAAGGTCCCGGTGCGGGCGCTGGATTAGGCCCTTGCCCTGGAGCCGTTCCTGCCGTGGGCACAATCTCAATGCATTTCTGAGTCGTGCCGTCGTTGCTGAGCACCGCCATGCGGCCCTTTTCGCAATAGTCATCATCGAGCTCTTCTGAAATGTTTTCAGTGATTTTATTCGAGTATTTTCTACCTTTTTCTCGGATCTTGCTACACGAAAACTAAGAAATCCGATTTTATCAGTTTTAAAGCTGGAAGACTTTTTCTTCACTGAACCTAAAAACAGCACGTAAATACATGCGTCTCGTAAAAGAAAAACAGAAAAACGTGCTTTTTTTGCAGATAATTTTCGATTATTATTGCTAGTTAGGCCTATAAAATTGTTCTCTCAGTTGGAACTAGGGAAACTTCAAAAGCCCGAAATAGCGCTTTTTCGGCCTAATTTGCGTATTTTGCACACTTTCAAGCTCCATAACTCGGAAACAAGATCTATTGCGAGAAATTTTGGGTAAAAAACGTTCCCTGGTAAACCCTCCAGATCGGCTCGGCTATAGTCTGTGTGACACGACTTGAAATTTCACGGAACGACATTCCGCTGTTCCGCTGCGTGTGTTCGCGAAGCTTCTTTCGAATCTTGGTCACGCTTCCAATTGATTGTTATTGCTGTGGGAGCACATGAAAGTAGAGTAACTTATTAAAAGAAAAAATAATTAAAAGCGCGACCAAGGTTCGCAAAGGCACGCAGCGGCACAGCGGAATGTCGTTTGGTGAAATTCCAAGTCGCGGTACACCGGCTATACGACAATTTCATTTTTTCTTTTTTTTTTTTCCTAAAGTCCCAATCAACTCACCATGTTCGCAGTAGAACTTCATCGAGCGCCTGCTCAATGCACAATATCTTCTGAAAATGTCCAAGGATCTTCAAAAGACTTTTTTTGATGATAATCCTTACGTGTATCTCTTCTTTTCTTCATCGGTTTTCGTGACGAGAAACTCCGATCGGATGCAATCCTCGTCTGTCACACAAAATGTGCCGTCATCCAATTTTTGATATCCTACTTCAAATTTTGGGCTATAGAAACTATAGAGCATTTGCCAAAACTGGGAACAGTCTGCTTCTTTGCGCCTCTCGTTTTTACTTTTTATTTTCAGGTTATCACGACCTCGCCGGCGAGGGAAAAGAGGGCGCAGAGAGGCCAGACTGTTCCAAGTCTTGAATCTTGAATCATACTTCTTGCCCCTTTCGACGAAGCTTTCCTCTCCAACTCAGATAAAGCTTAAAAAGTCAATTCAACTCCAAATTAGATTTTCAAGTTACCTGAAAGGGTTTTGCGTTTCAAGCCTTCGATTTTGAGTTCTTCCAAAACTGAACTTGATTTATTTGAACTGTTTCCGATGGAAAAATCAACCTTTCTCCACTTTCAAGCCTTCGACGATGTAGAGGAGCAGCAGTAGAAGCCCGAAGATCGGTAGAAGTTTCAGCCTGGCCATTGAGAACTCCGAGTTGAAGCTCTCTCTCTTGCAATGCCACACTTTCACGGTCACGATCCACGTTAACTTTTTATCATTTTATCTTTCACGTAATCTCTTAGAATTTTTTCGAGACTTTTCGGCTTTTTCATTAACAGTGGGACTTCTGAATGATACCGAGTATACTACGTGTAGTTTTTCACGCGGATTTCGAGTCTGGTCTCAAAAACTGCCGTCGAGGCCTGTGTATAAAGTTAGGGGCTCAAAAGTCCATAATTTTAATGTCTGCGATTGAGCTCGTTTTTGGAACGTGTATGGGCCATTCCGCGACAGCTTGTCATGTTTTTATTTTCAAAAAGACCAGATCGAGTTTCTGCTTTTATAACGGCAAGAATCAGAGGTCTTGAAGCGAATTTGGTCAAATTTGACCTGGCCTTTGGCGGGAAGAAAAACGTGACAAGCTGCCGCGGAATGGCCTATACCTTGTACTTCTGATAAAATCAAACTATTAATGTTTTTTCCAAAAAAATTTTTGAGGCTAGCTATGATCCTCCAAAGCTCCGGGCATGATAAGAGAATGCGAGTGTCGTGTTCCGATTTGGAGGCAAAGCAATGACAGTGAGGAGCAGTGGAAAGACGGGAACATGATATTGGCGAGGTTAAAGGTTCGATCCCCACCCTGTCGGAACATTTTTTGCAATTTTTCCTTGCAGAAAAAAATTAATGAAAATGTTCTATGAAAATGATTTTGTAACTTGTTCATAGTTTCAATTCAATTGAACATTTTCGAGCAAAGGGCGGATTGAGCCATAATGTGTCCACAAAGGTACCTCTCAAAATGGATTGCAAATGTGTCCATCGTGAGACCTCCGGCATACCTTTTAACTATATCTGAGCCATCTCGGAGGTACTTCAGAGTCTCTCTCAAGCCCCTCTCATTTTGCTCAAAGTTCTCGAGGTACCATCGGGAGACTTCAGAGCCTGCGATATACCTCAGAGGGTCTCGCGAAACCCTTTCTCAAATCGCCTATGTAGCTAGAAGAGTATTCTGAAAGCTCAAAAATAGTTAATAACTTCCACTTTTTTTTGACGTTTTTTAAAATTTTTTCCAAGCCATGTTCAACCTTTACAAGACCAAAAAATCAAAATCAAGTAGAACTTTTATTGATTTAAGTAACAAATATCGTTCAAAAAATATTGTTATAAAGGGGAAATGAAGAAAAAAAAGGGCAGAGATCAGGGCAATAGTTTGATATTTCCGAAAAATAAATATAGTTTTTGGACGAAGGTTAAAATTGAATATTTGGTAATGGAAAAACAGATGGATACAATTGAAAATTCCAGGAAAAAATATAAAAAATATTCCCAATGTCTGAACGTCTGGACGAATTTCGGACAAAGACAGTTGCACAAGATTCAAGAAATAGTCGAGTTTCATTCGCTTCCATCCTGCTGCTGTAGCTGACGGTAGTCGACGGGGAAAAGCTGCGGGAAAATCGCGGCCGACGGCGATTTTGGCGCCGCTGCGACCGTCGCGGCCGCGAATTGAGTCGCGTCGCCGGCTGGCATCGTCATCGGACTCGCAAACGCGAATGGTTGCATCACTGGAAATCATGAATTGAGGGTTTATAAGATACGAGATGAGCTTGAAGACCACAGAATTTGCAAATTCTGAAAAGACTGCCGCAAGTTGCATTTAGGCTCCGCCTTTTTTTTCTAAGGTAGTCTATTTGTAAAAACCACGCCGTAAGTTGCATTTAGGCTCCTCCCGGTTCTTTAAAAGTGTTCTATTTTTGAATATCGCGCCTCAAGTTGCCTTTGAGCTCCGTCTGATTCTAGTGTAATTTATTCTGAAAACCGCGCCGCAAGTTGCATTTAGGCTCCGCCTTTTTCTTCTAATGCAGTCTATTTTTTAAAACCATGCCGCGAGTTGCATTTAGGCTCCTCCTGGTTCGTTGAAAGTGTTCTATTTTTAAAAACCATGCCGCAACTTGCATTTTGGCTCCGCCTTTTTCTTCTAAGGTTGTCTTTTTGTGAAACCACGCCGCAACTTGCATTTAGGCTCCGCCGTGTCAAGTTTCATCATTATTTCGAAGACGGTGTCGTCTTTCAAAAAAGTCTCTTTCTAAAATTCGCGCCGCAAGTTGCATTGAGGCTCCGCCTATTTCTAGTGTAATTCATTTTGAAAACCGCGCCGCAAGTTGCATTTAGACTCCTCCTGATTCTAGTTTAATTCATTTTGAAAACCGCGCCGCAGCTTGCATTTGAGCTCCGCCTGGTTCTTTGAAAGTGTCATTACTTTAAAAACCAGGCCGCAAGTTGCATTTAGGCTCCGCCTCTTGCATATGAAAAGTTTTCAAATCGTAAAATTTTCTATATATATGCTCATGTATCCGCAAAAAAAATAGAAAAAAAATCAAGTATTGCTAACTTTTCAGGACCTCTTCTCTCCTTTCATCCTCCCCTAATCATGTTCTTCAAATTTTATTGATTACTTTCTTGGCCACTGATTGGACTTTTAGATAGGTAGGTTGGAAACTCACTGGGCATGCGCATAAAAGCGGGATTGTACATGAACGGGTTGAGAATGGGCATCGGAAAGGCCGCCGGCCTTGCCTGACGGAAAACTGGCGTCGAGAAAATTCCGGCGCCTTGCGTGGTTATTGAGGATGTTTCCACTGGCGACGTCGAAGAGGAATTCTAAATTTTTTTTTGTTGTTAGTGGCTTGGAATGGGTAGGAAGGGGCCGCGTTCGGAATGGCTGAGCATTTTTATATTTTCTTCAATTTCTAGAAGAGCTTCTGGGAAAATTTTTAGTCGTCCCTATAGAGTTTTGATATAGTTTTTCTTTGCGAATCGAATGGTGTACTCAAAAAAATTAAATATGTGACCACTTTAGAAGAAAAACGCGATTTTACTTTCCCGCCTTTATTTTTGAAAAAAGCTTTGGATCGGCCTACGGACAAATGTTTACAGTAGCCGTCCACGCGATGTTGCGGACGTCTCATTAGACTCGCTTTTTTTGAGAAATAACCGGATTTCTGCTTCAAATCAAGGGTTTATTTTCTGAGAAAACTTTTAGTCAAACTAAAAACAGACACCGATAATAAAGAAAACACAAAATATTGCTATCCCAATCGAAATTTGTGTAAAATCATCATTTTTCACCAAAGAAGCATTTTTGCGACCAAAGTTTGCAAATTATACATGAATAGAAAGCTTTTTTGACGGAAAAAACTTTGGTGACAACAGAAAAAATTGAAATTTGAAAGAAACGAAGAAAAAAGCGAAAATCCGGAAGATGGCGAAGCCTGTTGTCCATAGAGCAACTTTACTGCAAAGCGCCCTTTTTGCGGGAACTCAAACTTTCCTTTCTCCGACTTTGAATTATTTTTTCTCCAAAACTAGGAAGTTCGGTACGTTTTCAAGTTTACCGCTCCATTCGCAATGAAAAGCTCTACAAATAACTGCTTTGAACTGAAACGCCGTTTTTTACTGCCCCTATGCCTTTAATCATCATTTTTCCCGTGCTTCTTTCAATTTTACCTGTTCATTTGTCGCAGGTGTACTCGGTGAGCTGCGATTCACGTCGGTTTGCTCTTGTTTGATGATTTCATCTCCACTTGGCGAGCTCTCGTTCATTTTTGATTCTGGAAATGCTTTTTTCAGTACGATGGAAGTGAGGAGGAAATTCAAAAGTCTCGAATTTTTTTGATGGAAAGTCTTTAAAATCGCAATTAGAATTTAAGCCTTGGTTTTTTTTTTGAAGATCCATGTCCCCCCTTCTTATAGTTTCTTCCCCCCTTCTTTCATTTTTTTCTTTCTAATACTCACAGCCAGAATTCCTTAAATCTCCCCTCATTTTTTTGAAGATCCTTGTCCCCCCCCGCCCCATTTCTTTTTAGTTCCCCCCTTTTTTTATTTTTTTCTTTTTTTAATACTCACAGCCAGAATTTCTTGAATCTCCCCTCATACTCACAGCCAAAATTCCTTAAATCTCTACTTATTTTTTTAAACCTGTCTACCCCCCTCCCCCTTCTTTAAGTTTCTCCCCCTTCTTTTTATTTTTTTCTTTTTCAATACTCACTGCCAAAATTCCTTAAATCTTCCCTGATTTTTTTGGAAACCCATGTCCCCCCCTTTATCACACTTCCTACCGTAATCCCCACCTTGCAGCTGGCAAAACGAGCCATCATTTCCGTTTAAAAACGGCCACTTCTTGCGCAATGTTGTCCAAACATAAGTGAGGATGGGGCACGAAAACCGATTAACCCCCGAAGACACTTGAATTAAATGAGAATATTGATGCGCGAAGGGTTATTAGATAGAGATTAGGTGCTTGACTTTGCGCCTGACGGATTAGGCGCCGGACAAATCCAGCACCTGTACCTGTCTGATTGGCTCTTTTGTAGGTAATCTTGGTGATTTCGAGGAAAATTGATGGTTTGTGGTTCAGTTTTTAGGTTTGAGATGGAGAAATCGGTATTTTTTAGAAAAAGCTTGGATCTGTATGAATTTGATTTTATCAAAAATCTTAAATCGCTAAGAGTTTCCCTTAAATTGACACTATTTGCTGGAAAATAGCTCATTTCGAACCATTTTTGAAGTTCTTCCTCAAATTTTTTCGCTTTCAAAAAAAAAATCAAGAAAAGTATCCAATTCTAGGTCGGAGAAAAAATAGCAAAAAATCTAGCACGAGTGGGGTTCGAACCCACGAGGATTTCTCATCCATTGGAACTTAAGTCCAACGCCTTAACCACTCGGCCATCGTGCTGTCGAGGTCACGGCTCGCTCCGCCGCAGTAAGGCACCCCCTCCACATTTTCTCTCGTTGCCTCTCCGCTGTGGACTTTTTTTCCCTCGCTGTTTTTCGGATTTTCTTCGGAAATAGTGCATTTCGAAACATCTGGCGTGTAGCAAAATGCAGAAAATGGAGAAAAAGCGGAAAAGGAAGGCCACTCGATTTTATCTCTTTTTTTTTCGTTGTGGCTTGTTTTCTGATAAGAATGTTCATATCTTTTCAATTTTTCAAAAAAAAAAAATGTGTTAAATTTACCCTTTTTCACTGTTTGAAGACAAATTCTGGGGTTGTTCGGCTTCACGACGCAGAATGCTCAGAAGTTCGTTGGCTGAAAATATTTTTTTTTTAAATTAAATAAAATCCTCTTCTCCTAATAACCCATGATTAAATAAACCTTCCTGCGTGTGCAAGTTGCGCAATCCTCAGAAAAAAACCACACAAAAAGCCCGTATTTGGACAGGTATTTGTCTAGGAAATGAAACAATGGATGAGTTGTTTGAGCCTTTTTTTTCGGTTTTAGAGAGATTTTTCGGGTTATTGGAACAAATTTAAAGCTAAGAAGGGCTGATTATGAGAAAAAAAAGAAGTCTGAGGCTGTGAAAATAAGCTTTATTTCATTACTTTTCATTTTTAAATTTTTAAGGATTTTAAAAATTATTAGTGTAAAAAGGATTTTTTGAAGATTTTCAAGAGACCATCCGGTATGTGAAAGAGATTTTGAAAATTTCAAAGAATTCCTAGGAAAATTTTTAGTGGTCACTATAGGGTTTTCACGTTTTAGTGGCCACTATAGTAGTCAATGTAGTGGCCACTTAAGGGGTTAAAAATTAGTGGCCACTATAGAAGTCTAAGTGCTACTACTAGACCACTTTAGTGGCCACCTTAGGGGTCAATGAATCAATATAACTGGTCCAATCTGTTTGTTTTAAAATTATCAGAGTTACTGGAAGGAACACAAAAAACTACTGAAGTGACCACTCAATAGAGAACCTCTACAGTGGCCACTAAACGGAAAATAGTGGCCGCTATAGGAGTGATTTTAGTGACTGCTTTAGTGTTCTCTCCAAGTAGTCCTTGGCGAGCCTCTATAGTGGACACTAAAAATTTTTCCAGTCAAAGCTTCAAAGAAGTAAATCGACTTTTTTGTAAAGTGAAAACCTGAAATCACTTTTTTTTTCTTTTCTCAAACCCTCTAGCCTCCCCAAAAAGTTGCCAAGAAGCCCAGCGCTACTTGTACTCAATAGCATAAGGTGAGCAAATGCTACAAGGTGCCAAGGAGCCCATCGAAAAAGACTCACAGGTGCGCTCCAATGCACACAAACATGACCGCCAGCCGACACCCATTTGCTCTACAGTACCCATCTTGGGCAATTGAGCAAAAAGTCAGGTTTTTTTTACCAATAATTATTGAGAAACTGTTAAAAAATGAAAGAAAAAATAGAGAAAAAAGTTTTTTTGAATTTTTTTTTTTGGAAGATTTTAGTTTGTTTTTTCTGAGGGATTTCCAATTTTGGCTTGTCCCAAGCTTCTTCTTTTACCCTAAGAAGGAAAGTAAAGAATTTTTCACAGCCTTTGAAAAACGGATAATTTCTGTAAAATCAAGCCCACCCAAGAGCTAAAAAGTAAAGCTCAAAGCTCAAAATTTTTCATCATATAAAAAAACTTATTGAAGTTAGAAAAGTCTCAAGGAGACACTCAAGAAACTTCTTAGGGTTTTTCTAAAACTTTCAGCAAAAAATGTTTAAATTTGAATTCTTCCACGCGTTTTGACTGACTGTACAGATCATATACTTTCAAAAATGGCGCTTTTTATTTTAATTTCTGAATTTTTTTCCTAAGCTTCTTCTGAATTTTTCTGAATTTTTTTCCCTAAGCTTCTCCATCTATCTTAAAAAGAAAAAAAAGAAATTCTAAAGACTAATGAACTTTGAAAAAAAAATAAGTCATAGTCCGTCCGCCGAAGTTTTCGCGTGTCTGCGTCTCTCTGTTCCCTCACAGGCGAGGTCAGAGAAACATGGAAATAGCACGTAAACATGAGAGAGACGTCGAGAGACAAGGAGAGTGCAGAGAAGTCGCGAAAAACGGACTATACAGACACTAAAAGATAAGCTTCAAAGCCAAAATGACCTCACTATTCGATACCTTATTGGAATCAGAATAACATCAAGAAGCCACTTGAGAAGCTCTTTAGGTTTCTCTTGAGTGTTCCTTGGATTTTCAAAACGTATGTACTTCTCAAATATCATGGAAGAAGCTCACCATTGCCATTCCCCAGTAGGATCTCGAGGTCCCTCGCGTCGCGCTCCTCCTGACTTTGCTGACGTCGGAGCGCCACCTGAGCCGCCATGACCCGTTGTCGCTCGGCGATCAGCGTACACTTGGCGCAAGTACAGTCTTTCCATCTACAGTATCTCTTGTGTCCTGGAACGAAAATCGTGATTTTTTGCAAATTCCGGACTTGTTTTGGTATTCTAAGACTCAAGTTATGTAGAATTTTATAATGCACTAACTAAAGTCCGAGATCCAAGTGAGCTCTTAAGGGTTCACACTGATCTAACGATTATTTATCATCATTTTTAATAGAGTACAAGAGATCGCGTCAGAATTGGAGCAAAAAAGAGAAAAAAGTACCAAATGCAGTTTTTGAGAAATATTCCGAATTTATTCTCAAAATTTGCCTAGAAAACCCGTGAAAAAAGCTAGAAGCTCTCAAAATTAAGATATCTGGAGCCGAAAAAAATTATTTCTTTTTCTGAAACGGCCCAAAGAAAAGTGAGCAGCTTTGGAAAAATTTATCTACGCTAAAATTTTTTTCAAAACATCAACATGTTGCTTTTCTTGTGACAATTTTCCGAAGAGTCTGATTTTTCCGAACTTCGAACTGGTATAACTTTTTTTACAGATTTTCTAGAATGATTCTGAGTCCAGATTCGAAATCAGGGTGATAAAATGCATCTAATAATGATTCAAAAGCCCCGATATTATGGAAAAAATGGGTTAGCATGATCAAAATCTATGTTTTGCTCTTATTTTTGACCTTTCGCGCCTTTTTTCTCCCACCACATATTAAAAAAACAGGAGTCTAGGTTTTTTTGAAGGGGTTCAATTTTTTTCATCATTTATAACTTTTTTTTTCGAGTTAAAAAAGTTTTGAGTGTAACTTTACGCGATTCTGACGAGAAAAATCGGACTTTTCCTTATTTTTCTATCCAAAATAATAAAAATGACCTTTCAGGGCGGACACGGTTCCATGATTACGACATCTGGCACATTTCGGGGTCCTCTGGTTTCTTTCCTGTCGAATACGAAGGATTTGTTCGATACTTGCCGGGGCCAGGTTCATCGGCGGAGATTGGGTCGGGCTCATTTAGAAGTCTGGAACTTTTTTTTGAAACTTTTCTCGATTTTTTTGAAAAATTTCTACAACGAAGATGACATTGATCTGCTTGGAAACTTCAGAGTGGTCCCTATAGGGGCAACCTTGAGCGCCCTGTAGGGACCACTTTAACAACCCCGCTAGGGGCCACTGAAGCTTGCAAAAGTGGTCCCTAGAGGGGTTTTAGTTAGTGACATGAACTCTAGGAAGTTGAAAGACCCCTATAGGGTCCACTTGAGCTTCAAGGGCTAAGGGGTCAGACCCGAAACCCCTAGAGGGACCACTTTTTCGGCCCCTATAGGGGCTGTTTTCCTTCCTAATCCCTATAGGGACCACTCGGGAATTCCTAATTAACTGGAAGAGGTTCATAAGAGCTAAAAATTAGTTAATTTTCAAGGTCAAAAATATAAAAAAGGCTTGAAACTTGTAGAAGCTTAGACTTGAGAATGAAATAAGTTGAATAAAAAGAATTTTTGAAGAGTAATATATACTGGGAAAAAAAAAAATAGGATTTTTTGAACAAGAGAGCGTTTTTTGTATAGAAACTTAACGTTATAAGGATTTGATACATTTTAAAAAAACCTAAAGTTTCAAAAAAAGTCTTGAAAAATCATGTAATACAGAACATTTTCAATACAAAAAGCACCTTGGAGCCTGAAAATTCGGGAAAAAATCATAAAAAGAACCCGAAAAGGCTATTACTTTCAAATAAAGGAATGAAAGAAGTTATCCTTTTAGGCTGAAAAAAAGATATTTTTCTTTCTCTCCCTTTTTTTGTAGTGCATATCTTTTTTTATGAGCTTTTTCTTTTTGGGGAATTTTTCTGAATGTTTTTCATTTTTCTTACCTACTCTTTCTATCACACAAAAGTTATTCAAAAAATTTTTTTTCGAAAGAAATGATTTTTTTGAAGCATCATGGATTGGGAAATTTGATAGGAAATAACAAAAGTAGACTTTTCTAATGTTGACTGGACCATAAGAAAAATCTGAAACCTATCTTCTAATAGAATTTTTAAAAAAATAAGGTCTTGAAGGGAAAATTAATAGTATAGCTTCCAGATCCTGTCATTTCAAATTTTCGTTTATAACCCTGAAAAATTATTCAAGAGATATGTAATGTGACAACAAGGAAACGAAGAATAATATCCAAATTAGATAAATATCACATGTAGCTGTTTTGTCAATATCAATTCATCTGACCAGGATACAATCCCCATTTGAAATTTTTGTACTCTTCCAAAATGGAAAACTTGATCTTTGACCTGTTTTTGACCTAGAAAAAGGGCAAGTTTTCGAGAAATACCAGGTACGGAAATTTATAAACGAAGATTTAAGCTTTTCCAGCAAGAAAAAGCTTGGAAAACTACAATTTCGGAAAGAGAAAAGTTACAAAAATGTACATGACTTGACTTGAATAGACGTTTTTTTTCTGTAGGCCTGTACGGGAAGTGTATTGAAACAATGGAACAAATTTTTTTGTCATTTTTTGTGTTCTTTTCAAAAAAAAAAGAGAAACGTAAATGGCGGACGGACGAAAATGACTCACAAATTTTCGTCTTCATGACCACAACCATCACGTGTGTGCAAGGCTTACAACAATTACAATTGTTGAGATTTTTCGCGTTTTAAAGAGAGTTTGAGCTCACGAAGGTGGTTGGAAAAGAATGAGAAAAAATAGCCTTGGTTTTTGGAATATTTTGCGCTCCAAGGGCAATTTTTAGCCTAAATGAATATTTAGATATAAATGAGAAGAAATAGCCGCGGTATTTGACACATTCTGCGCTCTATTGATAACTTTAGCCTAGATCGTAAGTTGGTTATGAATGAGAAAAAATAGCCTCGTTGTTTTGGATATTGCGCGCTCCATTGATAATTTTAGCCTGGAGATGAATGTATTGAAAAGGGAAAAAATAGCCTTGATATCAGAAATATTTTGCGCTCTATTGAGAATCAAAATCTACAAAGGTGACTCGATGAAAATAAGCGGAAAAAAGCCTGTGTGTACGAGATCATTTGCGCTCCATTGATAATTTTAGCCTGGAGAGAAATTCGGATAAAAATGAGAAGAAATAGCCTCCGCATTTGCGATATTTTGCGCTCCATTGATAATTTTAGCCTGGACACATAAATTTATTGAAAAAATAGCTTTAATGTTGAAGATATTTCGCGCTCCATGGAGAATTTGAGCCTTTAGAGATAACTTTTTTGAAGTGAGAAAATATAGCCTCGGTATTTGAGATATATCGCGCTCCATTGATAATTTTCAGCCCTTGTGAAAATTCGAATAGAATTTTTAAAGAAATAGCCGCGGTAATCAAGTTATTCAGCGCTCTGGGGACAATTACAGCCTAGATAGGTTATTGGAATGAATAGGGAAAAAATAGCCGCGGAAAATGTGCTCCATGGACAGTTCTCATTCGAGTTAGATACACGAGAGCTCTTGGAGAAGAAACAAGTTTTTGAAAGAACTGCCATTTTTTGAAAAGTTTGGACTTTTTTTCTACCGCCCACTCTTTTCGAAAAACCACTAAGATCACAGATAACACAACTGAAAGTGCGAGATGAAATTAAATCCGAAAGCAATGTTGCGAAACGCCGAATCCCATCCAAAAAGCCGCAATAACAACCTTTTCCCACGCATTTTTTAATTTGATAAAATTGCGAAATGAATTTTCGCTTCAAAAACATGTTTTTCGAATTTAGAGTTTGATAAATTTCTTGATTAATTAAAATCTTTCGAAGCGTTCCAAATTCACAAAATGAGTCATTAAGTTTTTTTGCATGGTAAGGAAATATGAAGGGTTTAATTACAGAAAGCTACCGTAATATTGTAGGAGAAAGCTACTGTAATGTTTTTAAAAGAAAGCTACTGTAATTTTTTTGGAAAAAAACTACCGTAATATGTTGGAAAAACTACCGTAATATTTTTTTGAAGAAATCTACCGTAATATTTTTTGAAGAAAGCTACCGTAATATTCTTGAAGAAAGCTACCGTAATACTCTTGAAGAAAGCTACCGTAATATTGTAGAAGGAAGCTGCCGTAATATTTTGGAAAAAAAACTACCGTAATATGTTGGAAAAAAAACTACCGTAATATTTTTGAAGAAAGCTACCGTAATCTTTTGAATGAAGCTACCGTAGTACTTTGAGCAATACCTACCGTAATATTTTGGGTTTGAGAATAGCTACGGTAGTATTTTTGAAGAACTTTTTTAAAGGAAAGCTACCGTAATATTTTTGAAGAAAGCTACCGTAATCTTTTTGAAGAAAGCTACCGTAATACTCTTGAAGAAAGCTACCGTAATCATTTTGAATAAAGCTACCGTAGTATTTTCGAAGAAGCTACCGTAATATTTTTTTAAAAAGCTACCGTAATGTTTTTGAAAAAGCTACCGTAATACTTTTGATACAGTATCCTACAGTATCCCACGACTTTTTGAGCTTCTGAGACATGTCTTTAGACTATCTACAGATTTTTTTCTCAAATAATTATTCCTAAATGATAATTTTTTTAAAAACCACAGTATCTTTATCTTCTTTGGGTCATTTTAATGAAATCTACAGTAATCCAGAACTTCGAAACGTTTCGAAATGAATTTCTGCTTCAAAACATGTTTTTCAAAATTAGAGTTTGTGAAATTTTTGATTAATTAAAATCTTTTTGAGGCATCTCAAGTTCATAAAATGATTCATAAATTTTTACATGAAAAATTAAAATTAGGCTTTATTCAAAGAAAGATACCGTAATCTCTTCATACTGTATCCTAAAGCATCCTACAAGTTTTTGGGCTACTAAAGACTTGAACTATTTGCAGAAATCCTTCAAAAATCAAAGTTATAATGAAGATTTTGAATGAAAATCGCATTAGATTTTTTTCCCTAAAGTCTTTTGGACCTATCCAGTGAAACCTACAGTAATCCAGAAAAAGCTACAGTAAGAAAAGAGTAGGAGCAACACTAAGCGGAAGCAGAGAGGTAAGCATAACCTCCTCGAAGCGTTGCTCCCAAATGTGGGCGTGTCTTGGAGGCCTCTCCTTAGCCACGCCCACTTTCTCGAGCCCTTCCCGGATTTTTTTCTAGAATATTACAGAGAGCAAGGCAATTCTTTCAAATTGAAAATAGTGTTCCAAACTTTTTAAATTCTCAGAGCGACTCGGCTAAAAAAAAGTTTTTTTTCAAAATTCGAAAAATTTGACTACTTTTTGTCACTGAACAGTTTTCATTTTGCGACGCGGTTAAACGACTCGGCTAAGCGACTCGGCTAAGCGACTCTGCTGTGCGACTCTGCTGTGCGACTCGGCTGTAGAAAGTTCAGTCATTCATCATAAGCTTTCTTTCATCATTACACAGATCTTCTAGAATTTTTTGGATCCTTTCAAAATTGACACGGCTGTCTTTCTGAAGATTTGCGAATCTGCTATGCGACTCGGCTATGCGACTCGGCTGTGCGACTCGGCTGCGTGACTCGGTTATGATTAACTAGAAGAGAATTCGGATCTGTAGCGAATATAGGCCTGGAAGAAGCTTTTTTCAATTTTGGAGACGATTCTGGACTCTATATTGTCTCTGCGACTCGGCTATGCGACTCTGTTCTGCGACTCTTCTGTGCGACCCTGCTGTGCGACTCGGCTGCGTGGCTCGGCTGTGAATAATTAAGAGAAAAGGCTAATTTAGGCCTGGAAAATAATTTTGAGGACAATTCTGGGTTCTTTATTTTTTCTGCGACTCGACTGTGCGACCCGGCTGAAGGATATAATTTATATAAAGATTTTTTTATAGTGATAATTGAATTTTGCTTCTTATTTTTTTAAGAAAGTTCTGAAAAAAACTGTTAGATCTTTTTTTTTATAAAAAGCGCTTTTCAGCTTTCTACCATCTACTTTTTCAGTTTAAAAATATCCTGATAACTTTTTTTTTTCGATTATTCATTTTCACTTTAACACTACCAACAGACATGAATCAATGTCCTCACCTCGAACATTAGCTAA